ATCACAAAATATACGTAAAAAAATTAAAAATAATGCTGATGGCTGGTAAACAAGGAATACAGATATTAGTACTCGTTATCAAGATTAGTACAGGGTGATTGAAAAGTAACTCACCATTTTAAAATACTTATGATTTATTTATTAACTATAATTTTTTACAAGAAATGGATATGAGAAAAAAGCGTTTAGCATGAGGTTTTATTTAAAATTCGATATGGGTACCCGGTTTGTTCTGCTATTTACCCATGGTCGGTAGAAGGGGAGATGATGATTCATACCTTTCCCAAGGCTATTAGGATGTAAGTGAATGTAATGGATCCGACTGAAATTCGAACTCGGCTTGCCGATTCCTCAAGCCGCTATCCACCGTGGCATAGTAGACTTGTTCCTTTAACCAACTCAAAAGAAAAAACAATTGTCACAGGTTGTTAATTCAGGACTCCTATTTCGGTCTGATCTGGCTCTTGTAAATGTAAAGGATGACAGGAAGAGTTAGGTACTTGCTGGAACGGTACAGAAAACCAATCATTTTACCAGCAGCTTTTGCGATTAATCGTATGTATGAGTTTTACTTGAGTTTCATTGTTGCTTAGAAAAGGGCGTTGAATTGCTATTTGATATGAATTCTCTTGTAGGGCAATGGACGCTGGACAATCTCCCTACGGATGAATAGAAAACTGGAGGCAACAGAAATGCGGTTCTACAGAAGGATACTGAGAAATCCTTAGACCAAACGATTAAATAAGGAAGTCTTAAAGAAAAGGAAAAGGACTTAGAGGAAGTGTTCCGCAATTTTTGAAGCAAAATGATCGGGCACAAATCAAGGACCACAAATGATAGAGTAATGGAAATTGCATTCATTGGAAGGTAAAAAGATAACATTTTAGGATCTGCAACCATTTAGTCTCAGACATGAAACCAAAATGTCAAGAGGAACCTTAGAGTACATGCTCCAGATGTCTGCAGCGTGCAATGTTGTTGATCCCACGTGCACATTCCTCCTGGGTAATCACTTGAATCTTCTCAGTGATGTCCGCCTTCAATGCCGCAATAGTGCTAGGGTTGCCCTGGTAGATGCTGGCCTTGAGAAAACCCCAGAGGAAGATATCTGAAAGGTTCAGGTCAGGCGACTGAGGTGCTCTTTTTACTTCTGCTTTGTGGCTGATGAGACATTCCACAAACTTTTCACGGAAGCAATGCTATGGCAACATTAGCAGTTTGAGGAGGTGCATCATCCTGCTGGGACCACTGTTCCTCCTCATCAAGGTTCTCATGCACTTCGAGCTCCCCACTATCTGAGAGGCCGCTGCTTTGTTTCAACAATTCCCCACTACTTCGAAAAAAAAAGGTTAAGAAGGAATCCTCCATCCATAATGGAAAGATCTATAACAATTAGGGGACATGAGAAAACTATTTTCTTAAAAAACCTAAAAGATTTTATAAATTTCAATTGACAGTAGAAATAGGCTGCTCGGTCAATGAATATCGAATGTTTCCACATAAGGAAACAACTAATATTACCATAACTCTAAGTTCGATTTAAAGAATACTAATTTAAAGAGAAAAAGTGATTTATTAAAACGAAAATGTATTGAAAGTGCACTAATTTCTGAATCTTCCGCAGTAAATTTAATTGATTTTTTTAACTGCATATCAACCTCTGTGTTATTTAATGCCAATATCTAAATATTTTGAACATAATTTTATGCCATCAACTACAAATAAAATGTATTGCTGGTCATTTTGCTATAAATATGTATTGTTCGTCATTTTTTATATAAAAATGCATTGCTCGTATTTTTATAATTTTATAGCATTTTTTTTTGTTTGTTGGTGGGGAGGTGGGTCACTATTTCCACATAGCTGGAGCTCTAACAGATGCTACCACTTCGGGCCAGGGTGGACCTGGTAACAACAGCAATTAAAAGGCGGTTCCGCGCTCTCCTCAAAACCTCCCTATCAAAAGCATTGCTGCCAGATATAGATTATCGTCATACCCAGGACTCGTAAATTTAAGTCGAGGATCATACAACACATACCTTTTCCTAACAAAACTACTACTGTGAAAATGTGGGACAAATAAAAAAAAAGTAAAACAAAAACAAAAACAACAAAAAAAGAATATTCCGAACAAAAACAACAAGAGCGATAGAAAGATGTATATAATGTTATACATCTGTCACGAAAAACTTCCATCTTCAGCCTTTTCGAAGTAAAATTGTAAGCGGCTCTTGTATTTTATCCCAATAAGAGCAGCTAGATTTGTTTATCGTCTGGCTTACACTCCTCTCCACTCTTTTAATAGGCTTTGCCTCGGTCTTTTGGATGGAAGTAGAGATCTCTCCCTTATTTCCTGTTTAGGACTGGATTTCTGGATCCTTCTCAAGTCTATTTCAATTGTATTCTTCTAACGTCTGTGTCACAAACTCCAAACTTTTATTTACTATTTATTTACATTTTTTCTTCATTAGGAGTAGATAGGTTCGCCTATCGCCCGGTTCACACTTTTCCTCGGTTTTTTGTATGGGAGTAGAGATTTATCCCTTATATCTTGTATAGTATTGGGTTACTAGTTCCTTCTAAACTCGTTTCATTCTCCTTCACTCTCAGTAAACCGTTTAGCGGAATTATATCTTTGCTTGTAGTAAATTGATTGAAAAAATAACCACTCCATGGATCAAAACATTATTAATCTGAATGAGTTTTTTTTTTCGAGTGCTGAAACGTGTAACGTAGAAGTTTTTCCATTTTGTCATACAAATACTCACTAGATTTTTATGTGTGAGTGTGTGCACATTCACGTGTGTGTCTGTGTGAAGAGAACTGAGAAACTTCGAGGAAATTGCCTTTTCTTAAAAAAAAAAGGAACGAATTTGATTTGGCTCGATCGTTAAAATTTGACTTAACAATAATCTCAAAACCTGCCAAGAGACACCTCCCCATTTTGCTTTCTCCTTGTACACACACACACACATTTATATATATATATATATATATATATATATATATATAACACAGCTGAGAAAATATATATATATATATATATATATATATATATATACATATATATATATATATATATATATATATATATATATATATATATATATATATATATATATATATATATATATATATATATATATATATCAAGTATACAATTGGTATATACGGAATGAATTCCAATAACCAACAATTACTATTCTTAAAAGAGTGCTCAATACAAAGTAGAGCAGATATAATTATTTTTCATCAAAAAAAATTTATAACATAAGTATGTTATAAAATCACTACAAAAATAGCCATTTTTGTTTCAACACACTCTGTGTCTTATCGATAAGACACAGAGTGTGTTGAAACAAAATGGCTATTTTTTAATAATTATATATATATATATATATATATATATATATATATATATATATATATAAAAGTGTGTTTGATTGTCAACTTTCATGCATCTTTCATTGCAAACAGGCAACAAGGAAGATTTAATTAATCTTTTATTGAATTTTTCAAGCAATCTAGCATTTTTCTGTTTTTCAGGGGTTAAAAATATATGAACTGTCAATAGTTGTAATTGTTCTGAGCGCTTTCGGCTACTTTTCTAGCCATTATCAAATATATGTTTTGGAAATTCTGAGTGTGGCTGCTACATAGTAATTATACAGTGTGGAGTACAAGCGGTTTGTGTGTGTGTGTGGGGATGTATATATATATATATATATATATATATATATATATATATATATATATATATATATGTATGTATATATATATGCTGAACTGAAGGACACTCACATGAACACATTCAGTGTATCTTTACATTTTTTTAATAGTATTTATTCTTTATAGTTTTCTTCCTTTCATAAATTCATTCTTTCTTTATATTTTGTTTTCTTTCCCTTTTTTTTTTTTTTTTCTATTTATTCTTCTTTTCTTTCACTCTATATTTTCTCTTTTCCGGTCCTGCATCATTTAAAGCTGTTTTCGTTCTCTCTTTCTTTCTCCGACACTCTGCCCACTTACCTTGACACTTTATTCCCGCCTTAAATTAGAATTCCTGAGATCAAGGCGATAATGACTAAATAAACACAAACACACGAAAAAAAAAGAAAAAAAAAGAAGCTAAAAGAATAAATTAAGAAAAAGAAAAAAGTATTCGTACTCCGAAAATATAATTTCCGTGCAGCGTACTTTGATTGAAGATAGCTGTAAAGTTAACATCTAACCTACATTATGAAAACACTCGAATTAGCCAGAAAGATGCACCCGGTTTCTTAAGGGTGGCTGGAAGAGATCAACAGAGTTGGCCAACTTACTTAGTCAGCATTGCAAAGCCCACAAAGAATACAGCAAGACCAAAATGAGGACCTGTTGCAGCTGAATACACAATATTTGCCGTGGAACGGGTGGTGTGTGGGGTAGAAGAACTTACTCAAAAAGCAACGGAAGTGATTGTTAGTGTAGGCGGATGCTTAGGAAGAATTATGGGTATCATAAGGAAAGAAAACAACTAAAAAAAAAATGAGGAAATCTTATGCAAAGAGAGAATATTACAAAGAATATACGACTAGGGGTGTGAGGAATGTTTCTGGGCCGACCCACTTAGCGAAATCAGTATTTAAATAACCAGCCATCAGAATTTAGGGATGAAATTTCAAAGAAATTTGCGAAATGAGCTGCCAAAGCTGTTTAACTGCGAGTATTTTTTTTTTTTTTGATTGATTCATTTTCTTCGGCTTATCAACCATTCAGAGGTTATTTAAAGCGTGAAAATATTTTCAGATTGTATGAATTAATTTGTTGTCAGATAATAATGACTTACTGACACAAGCCTTACTAATTAACCCATAGCTAGGGTTTAGAAGAGGTGCATTCGTATCTTCCCCAAGGGTAATTGCGCGTAAGTGAATATAATGAAGTCCACTGGAATTGGAACTCGGCTCTCCGATTAACAATGCCGAGCCATTATCTATTAAACCAACCGAACATCCATGATTACAGCGCATGATATTCCCAAGCGGTCACCCATCTAACGACTTAACAGGTTCAAAGTTGCTTAACTTCGCTCATCGGAAGGGATCATGGCGTGGGCGTAAGCTGAACCGAGAGGGAATGTGTGGAATAACAGGTAGGTTTCGTGGTTGTTAACATTCTAGGTACAATTGAGATATATATATATATATATATATATATATATATATATATATATATATATAATGGGTGTTTCATTAAGATGGATTATATATAAGTTAAATCTCTCTCTCTCTATATATATATATATGTTAAATCTATCAGAGATATTGACTATGGATTATATATAAGTTAAATCTATCTATATATATATATTAAATCTATCACAGATATTGACTACTTTCCACTAGGTACCGCATATATATATATATATATATATATATATATATATATATATATATATACAGACATATATTTATATATATATATGCGGTACCAAGTGGAAAGTAGTCAATATCTGTGATAGATTTATCATACTCACAAGTTCTGAGTAAAATTGGGTAGACGGAACCCTTGGGAGCCGTCGATAGCTGTGCTAGCACGAAGTCACAAGTCATCGTGGCCGAGGGATTGAGTGTGCTGGCCTTGTTCAAATTGTTGATCCCGCTTGATAACACGCTCTTACCCAGAAACTGTAAGTAAGGTCTGCTCAGCATAGTTGCCGTTTAAATCACAGGTGGGCTCTGTGGGAGTTCAAAAAACACAAATGCGCCTGAGCAAGTGTCTGCAGTAGGGATTGGCTAGCCGCCCTAGCAGACGGGTAGCCTCGAATACGAGTGGCCAACTATACTATATATTGTTTATATTGATATTATATGTCTATATACGAGTTGATCTTATCATTTTTTTCGATCAATCAAATAACCAGTAATCTCCATCGCAACATGGAAGAGCTCAATTTCTCTTTCTTTGTTTTGGGGCCTAATTTTTATGTAAGTTACAGCATCTCCACCTCTTCCACGCGGCGTGGTCTCTTCGTGCGTCGAAGCTGTCCGGCTTGGATGTACCGAAATGCTCCAATTTCTCCAGTTCTACATCAGTCTCATTGGTTAATGGAAAAGACATCAATTCCGTGTCCTTGATGTAACCAGGGAGAATTGATTTCCCCGTCTAAAAAGTCTCACTCTTGGAGAGTTCTTTTCGTTTGATAAATTCACGCTCCCGACGAGCAGGGTCTATGCTTTAGATTATGGGGGCCATGTTGAATACAAAGAGGTAAATTCCAAAAAGTTATACTAACAGATATTCAATATTTATTCGCAAACATATGCTGTAATTATTCTTGTGTAATACGTTTTCATGTATAATGCGCACAATTAAGTTTACGAAATTATGAATAAATCTTTTTTTGTATATTAATAGCTGCCTCTTTGTAATTTGTAAAAGTAAAATCAAAATCAACTTGGCTCGTGTATTTTTTATTCGGTTCCTAATGAGTAAAAATAAGAAATTATATGGTCTACTTTGAAACCCACTTTCATTATCATTTATTGATAAAATAAAAAAGAAAAATCTGCAATATATATATATATATATATATATATATATATATATATATATATATATATATATAATGATAAATTAAAAAACACCTAAAATCTTATCATTTATAATTTATTTCATGAATATTTTTATATTCATTTTTTCAAACCGAATATTTTTAATAAATCCTAAAAATTAATCTTAAGATTTCTTAAAAATATTTGGTCTGAAGAGGTGAATATAAAAATATTAATGAAATAAATTATAACAGATATGGATTTTTAAGGTTATTTTTTTTTAATTTATCATTATATATAACTCTGTAACTTAAATTGAGCTCTCATTGGATTAAAATCCTCCTTAGAATAATCCCTACCAATTACAAATTGGTATTTTATATATATATATGTGTGTGTGTGTATGTTTGTGTTTGTTTTCACACGAGCACCTCGCTATCTGGGGGAATCATAAAAAATTAATTCGCTTTCGTTAATGCAAAAGGCTAAATTTTACATTACTAAGCATCGTCCATAGTTACCAGTTCCTTTTCCTCAATGTCGAGAGAATTTCGAATATATTAGAACGTTTTCTAATTCCCATTTGTACGTATAACGTAATTTTTTTCCAGCGTAACTTTTTCCTTGTGTATAAATACATGTTACTAAATAATATTTGTACATATGCCTTAAAGAAGGTCCTTAGAGAAGAAAAAACACTTAGGCGTAAAAAATTTTCCAGTTCTCATTTCCTTTAATGTTGTTCACCTAAGGCCCAGAGTCCACTCAGTGTAGCGGATTACTGAATGCTGTAAGGGCATACGAGATGGGGGGGGGAGGAAGAGATGCCTATTCTGAGGATATGTAGGATATATATTGGTTGACTTTAGACTTAAAGAAGTTAAAATTTCAGTAGTCGAGTAAGCATCCTCACGTGACGTTCGACAGTGTAAAATTTTTTTTCGGAAGAAGCTGCCTGATTCCTCATCAAAGGAATGCAAAGAGAATGATGAGGATGATCTGACGCCGTGTTTTGACATGGCGATTGCCAGTTATGAAGATCTGAACTGGTGAAACTAAGTAATGTTGCCCATTTGCCATAGTGATAGCGACAGATTACAGCCTGTAACGCCCGTAGGAAAGGCGTTGCAGGGTGTAAAATAATTCATCATCCAAAAGGTCCCTAAATCGCTTTTGAATTCTGTGAGGACTGGGCAGCATACTTGGTGGTTCGATCTGAGTCTTGTCAAGATAGAACATGTCAGTAGGAGTCAGGTACTTTCTGGAGCGATACAAGGAACCGGCCATTCTTCCAGCGTCTTTTACAATGGCACGAATATACACGTTCTATTTAGGGTCTAGAATTAGCTTTAAGCTCTAACAGAAAGTCCGTGTATGGACCCTCATTGAGGTTACGGCCTATCATCAGGACTGGAACAAATTTTTGGTCAGTTCGCTGGTTATTTATTAATTGTCTTTACAGATACATTTATTTGTATCTAGATTTTACACACACACACACGCATACACACGCGCGCGCACACATACGCATGCAAACATGCATACGCACTTGCCTACGCACACACACACACACATACTTTATTTTAGGATATTCCATCGAAAAACATGTCAAAATCGCTACATAATTGCAGTTGTGTTTCGATGCGTATCAACGCATCGCATCAGACGATTGTAAATTACTGGCAAGTGAACGATTTATTCAGATTTAAAAGCAAAAAAACAGCCTCTTTTTTACGGAAAAATAAAATGAGGTGAGAAAATGAGCAGCTTTATTCAGATCAACCAATCGATTATAACATACGTTAAATTTAAACTATGGGAAGAATCAAAAATTAAGAAAGTATTTTTCATAAGTGGGTCATGACCCATAGATTTGAAATCACTGACAGCAACAGACGTTAAACAGGAGCGGACGTAAATGTAAAATATTGTACATTAGACAATGTCATTTCCTAAGAAATAATGAAGTGGTAATCTAACAAAATAATTAGCTTCTTTAAGAAACCAGTAAATAATTTAAACGTATAGACTTGCTTGGTAAACTAATATGCAATTGTTGGATAAAGATTCTTTATATAAGCTGTTAAAAACAACCATTCAATGCAAAATGTCAAAATGCCAACCAAATACTAATACATCCGTACAATCCATATTAATTTTATCAACAGAAAGATAAGATATACATATATGGTGCAACACAGTTCAACTAAAATCTAAGAGAAAGAATTGTCAAATTCTATGTCTAACTGATTTGTAAGGTAAAAAGTAGACTGTCTTTTCAATTTACCGTTAACTCAGATCTTTGGTTTAATAAAGTATTCTTATCAAAGAACCTGATAATTTGCAATTTCTAATGTAAACACAGAAAACAGGGTTTATATAAGAGTCTCCATGTCCTTGCCATTTTAAAAAAATTTCCATATCACCTTAAGGGATTTATTATCATCTTTCAAACTCCAAAAATATTTAGAAAGTGGTGTATTATTTCTATAAGTATTATTAGTAAAGGAAAATATATGTTCATATCTCCTAGTCTTGAAAGAATTCTTAGTACTACCAATAAGTAATTTTTCAACCGTCGGAGAACAAAGATAGTTCCAAGAGATTTACTTAAACATTTGTTTGTCAATGGGCAGTGGTCAGGATTCCTACAATTACATTGGGCAATGTAACAATATTCTCCTTGGAACTTGTATTATGATTCAAATTATTAAATTAGTTTCATTTTTGTGTAACTTTATGATCTCTTCAAGATTATTGGTGCAGCTATAACTTAGTTTTAATGCATTTCTGTTAAATATTTTACCAAGATGGTTATTTTAGGAAAACGTTTGTTAATTCAATAAGTTGAAAGCTTGATATATATATATATATATATATATATATATATATATATATATATATATATATATATATATATATATCCAATGTCGCTAGCACTACTCGGAGTTACATACAGTTAAGGCAATCTTCAGGCGTGAGTAGTGTTACCGACGTTGAATATTATGTATATTTACTAATATATACATATAGCTATATTTCATAATATTGACCACTCTATTTATAACACTTGAGGAATAAATATACTTATGTACGTGCAAGTATTTGTGTGTATGTACGTTTTTTATCTTAACCATTTATATATATATATATATATATATATATATATATATATATATATATATATATATTGAATATGCATAAAATTCTACGAAATATTCAGGTGCAAGTGAGTATTTTCGCACCTGCAGATTCCAAGTATGCATGAAACTCCGAGTCGTTCTCTCGGCATTGGATACTATGCATATTAACTAAAATATACTTAATGGATCTCTTGCATAACATCGGGCACTGTTTGTGTAACACATCAGAAAAAATATATATGTGCGTAGCTTTTTTATTATCATACTCATATCTATCTATCTATCTATCTGTACGTACAGATATATATATATTAAATAGGACAAATATTATTTACGAATTATTATTTATTATTATTATTAATTTACACAATTAAATAGGACAAATGTTATTTACGAATTTAAATGCACATTAAAGAATTGTATTAATGATCAATCAAAATTCGTAAATGATTATATAGGCCACACTACAACATGTTTGACACGAGGACTCACGCTACACCTTTCTGATCATAGCTCAATTAGCTCTCATTTAAATATTCATGGAAGCCTATAGAACACTATTTGTAACATACTTGTTGACAACGCAAATATAATAGTTTCATCTACATGCAAAAGGCTAAATATAATGGAAGCCTTATTAATAAAAACAAAAAAACAACATTCAATGATATCAACTATGAACATGGACACAATATATTGTCTGTGTTTTGAAAAATGAAAATATTATGTAAAAATGAAAATATTATGTAAATACATACATGCAACAAACTGTTTCTTTTTAACAGTTAAAATATTTAATCCTTGACAATAGCTAAATGTATAGCCGAAAGCGCTCGGATGAAAAGAACTATTGGACAGTTTTTATATAATTTATCATCTGAAAAGAAAAAAAAAATTAGATCACATTAGAAAAAATTATTAGATCACATGAGAAATTGTATAAAAACTAAATCAAAGCACCTTGTCTGTCGTATTCAAGGAAATGTGCATGAAAGAAGAATTGCTGCCTAAATACTCTCTCTCTCTCTCTCTCTCTCTCTCACACACACACACACACATATATATTTGTACAGTGTATCAAAAGTAGGTAGACAGTAGGTTAAATAGGGTTTCTATTACTGTTATAATCATAATTCTAAGAGGAGTCCGAGAGTATCTTGATGAAACATTTCCCGAGAAATGTACTGGCCCAAGTGTTGGTGATTTGAAAAATTAATCAGAGATGCATTTTAAGAAATTAATAGAAAAAGATGCTCGTGCCATAATGTTTGTCGAAACGTGAAAAGTAGAATTCAAAGCTGTGTAAATTGTGATGGATACCAGTTTGAGCACATGCGTTGCTAAAATTTTCAGTGCTTTTGTATTGTATTATTGTATACAATAAAATTTAATCGCATATGTGATAATTGTTTATCAGAATTTAATTGTATTAGTATGTAATCTCAAAATAAATCTCACCATTTACTGTCTATCTCTCTGTCTCTCTGTCTCTGTCTGAATGTCTCTCTCTCTCTCTCTCTCTCTCTCTCTATATATATATATATATATATATATATATATATGATTGATTGTGTGTATTTGGGCTACTATACCTTTTTTATACAAGTTTTATTGGAGATGCTTAACAAGGTACTGCGATGACGCATTTTATTATATTTTTTCTTCCATTTGTATTCGTACAACTATTTTTTTTTATCGGCTTAAACTGTCTAAAAACACTGTTCTATATATCTGAGCACTCTCGGCAATACTTTAGCCATAATCAAGGATGTTTTAACTGAATGTGTAGGATTTTACATATATGTATCAATACAGATGTGAATGGTTTGTTTGTAGTTTTTCAAATACGGCCACAACGTGCTGATCGTGTTTGGAAAAAAAAAACAATGAAAATACTTGTAGGAATGCAATGTGTACAAATCTTTATCGCAGTATCTTGTCAGTAGCCTTCCATATATACCAGGTGTAACAGAAGAATTGTTCAAATCGTGTAATAGCATGGGATAATTGTCCATCCCACAAAATATTTAATATCTAAAACATACTAAACTAATTAAGCTTCATTTTTTACAGGTTTTCAGAAAAAGACGTTTGTCGTAAGAATCACTGAAAAACCTTTTGAGTTATTCAGCCAGAAAGAGAACAGGTTAAAATCGTTTTGTGCCAACCCCACTGTCTTCCCAACTGAGCAATGGTGAGAGGAAAAATTCCGGCCTTCAATAATGGTACCAAAATTCATACTCTGGATCCCAACTTCAAAGTCCATTAAAAAAACATCAAGAGAACGGTGAATAAGTTTAAAAATGAGTGAACAGTAGAGGGGAAAACTGGCTCTGGAGGTCACAACAGAAAGAGGGATCATCATTTCCACTTAAATTTAAGAGATCAATTACAAGAGATACAACTCAATCCATAAGACGTTTGTGAGGGAGGAGTTTCAGCAATGACAGTGCAAAGTGCAATGAAAGAAGACTTGAAAATGAAATCGTACGTGAAACCTGGGAGGTAACTTGTTACTCCAGGACAGAAAGTTAGAAAGTTAGAGAGGCAAAGATCATTTTGAATAAGTTGGAAAATGAGCCTGGAATATATATATATATATATATATATATATATATATATATATATATATATATGTGTGTGTGTGTGTGTGTGTGTGTGTGTGTGTGATTATGATTAATTAATGATGAACATGTCATTTTCGTTTTTGATCGATTTCATCAGGATTCTTTTGTTAAGCCTGGAGCGTAATTATACATTCTTATTGCTCATAGTAGTGTCCAATAGTGTTATAAAAACCTCGGAAAATTCCAGTAAGATATATTTAATCATTTCTAAAATACAATGGTTCAAATCTTAATTTGTTGTTATATGATTTTGAACCCGGTACACACACACACCACACACACACACACACACACACACACACACACACACACACTTATATATATATATATATATATATATATATATATATATATATATATATACACTTAAATTTTTGCAACAGTCAGTATTAACACAGCATCTGAAAATTGCGTTGTATATGGAACTGAGAGTTGTGCAACCGTTGAGCAAAAAATGTATAATTATTTTACATTGAGGACTATTTTATCAACAATTCCGATGGCTCCATTCTGGTATTTTATAGAAAGCTGAGTTTGAAACAGTCGAAAGTGCAATGTTACACATGACTTCACGTTTGACTGTTTCAAACTTTCAGCTCTTTAGAAAACGTCAAGTTGCAACCAACGGAATCTTGTTTACCACAACGAAAGCACATAGTTCTTGAAAATGACTGAGACTATGAGAATGTACTTGAACAAAAAAAGCAGGACAATGAAGTTCGCACAGTTTATCTATCAATTTCCGCCCTAACATATATTTTACTCGAAAATTGGAAAATACAATAAAACTTAAATACAGAACTTGTTGGTTGAATTATATATATATATATATATATATATATATATATATATATATATATATAAAGTCTTCTAAATAAGAGAAAAGGAATGAATGGTGGTATTGTTAAGTTGACTAAGAGCGAAGTTATGATTACCAATTCTTAGTGCAAACACTTGCTCTTCACCCAATCCACTTCTAACCCCCACCCCATTGCCCTGCCCTCCAATTTTTTTTTTTTTTCATCTTTTATCTTTCTGACTAAGTAAGCGAAATATGTCAGAAGATCTGTTTGGTATGTAATACTTCAACCGGGGCTTCGGCTCCACAGACGAGCTGCCTTCCTGACACGTGCAAAGTTCAGCGGCCTTTCTTATTTGTAAAGCATACACAGGGCACATTCCGTCTCGAAAGGATCAACCGGTGACACCCGGGCGCTCTTCTTCTGCTTGTTTTTTTTCGACTTCTTTTCTTCTTCTTTTTTTCTTTTCTTTTCTTCTTCTTCTTCCTCCTTTTTTTCGGTCTTTTCTTTTATTCTTAAGCATTATCTCCACTTTTCGTTTTTTTTCCGTTTTGTTCTGTTTTAGTATTTTCCAGTTATTTCTTCTTTTTTTCAGTCTTTTCTTAATTTTTACTTTTTTTCTTTAAAGGTTTTCTTCTTTTGTCGTTCTTTCCTTTTTTTATTCTTTTACAAGTTTGTATTTTTTCATTTATTTTTAAATTTTCTTTCTTTAAAGTCTTTCCGTCTTTCTTCTTTTTTTTTCTATTTTTCTTCTTTCTAAGTTTTTCCTTCTTTCTTCTTCTTTTTCTCCTTTTTATTTTCTTCGTATTTTACCTTTTCTTTTTCTTTTTCGTGTTGCTCTTCTTTTTTCTTCTTTTTTCTCTTTTCTTCTTTTTTCTTTTACTGCTTCTTTTCTTCTTTTCATCCTTTTTTTCTTCGTCTTTTTCTTCTTCTTTTTCTTGTTCTTCTTATTTTTTTCTTTTTTCTTTTTCTTCTCATTGTTATTCTTCTTTTCCTTCTTTTTTCTTTTTCTTCTTTTTCTTTTACTGCTTCTTTTTCTTCTTTTCTCCTTTTTCTTTTTTTCTTTTTCTTCTTCTTTTTATTCGTCTTTTTCTTCCTCTTTTTCTTGCTCCTCTTTTTTCTTCTTTTCCTTTTCTTCTTTGTTCTTTTTCTTCATCTTTTTCTTCTACATTTTCTTGATCCACTTCCTTTTCTTCTTACCTTCTTTTTCATCTTTTCCTTTTTTCTTCTTTTTCTTTTACAGCTTCTTTTTTCTTCTTTTTCTTCATCTTTTTATTCTTTTTCTTGTTCCTCTTCTTTTTCTTCTTTTATTTTTCTTTTTTTTCTTTTTCTTTTTTCTTTTTCTTTTTTCTTCTTTTTCTTGATCTTTTTCTTTTTCTTGTTCCTCTTCTTTTTCTTCTTTTCTTTTTCTTTTTTTCTTTTTCTTTTTTCTTCTTTTTCTTCGTCTTTTTCTTCGACTTTTTCTTGTTCCTCTTCTTTTCTTTTTCTTTTTTTCTTTTTCTTTTTTCTTCTTTTTCTGCGTCTTTTTCTTCGACTTTTTCTTGTTCCTCTTCTTTTCTTTTTCTTTTTTTCTTTTTCTTTTTTCTTCTTTTTCTTCGTCTTTTTCTTCGACTTTTTCTTGTTCCTCTTCTTTTCTTTTTCTTTTTTTCTTTTTCTTTTTTCTTCTTTTTCTTCGTCTTTTCTTCGACTTTTTTGTTCCTCTTCTTTTCTTTTTCTTTTTTCTTTTTTTTTTCTTCTTTTCTGCGTCTTTTTCTTCGACTTTTCTTGTTCCTCTTCTTTTCTTTTTTTTTTTTTTTCTTTTTCTTCTTTTCTTCGTCTTTTTCTTCGACTTTTTCTTGTTCCTCTTCTTTTCTTTTTTTTTTTTTTTCTTTTTCTTCTTTTTCTTCGTCTTTTTTCTTCGACTTTTTCTTGTTCCTCTTCTTTTTTTTTTTTTTTTCTTTTTTTTTCTTCTTTTTTCGTCTTTTCTTCGACTTTTCTTGTTCCTCTTCTTTTCTTTTTTTTTTTTTTTTTTTTTTTTCTTTTTTTTTTCTTCGTCTTTTCTTCGACTTTTCTTTTCCTCTTCTTTTCTTTTTTTTTTTTTTCTTTTCTTTTTTTTTTTCTTCGTCTTTTTCTTCGACTTTTTTCTTGTTCCTCTTTTTCTTTTCTTTTTTTTCTTTTTTTTTTCTTCTTTTCTTCGTCTTTTTCTTCGACTTTTTCTTGTTCCTCTTCTTTTCTTTTTCTTTTTTCTTTTTCTTTTTTCTTCTTTTTCTTCGTCTTTTTCTTCGACTTTTTCTTGTTCCTCTTCTTTTTCTTCTTTTTTCTCTTTTTCTTCTTCTCAGTTTTTTCTTCGTCTTCCTCCTCCTCATTTTCAGCCATTTCTTTTTTTATCTCACTCTTTTATTAAGTTTTACATTTTTTCTTTTAAGCTTTTCTTCTGTTGTCGTTCTTTCCTTTCTTTCTTTTACAGGTTTGTATTCTTTATTTTCACTTTCTTTCTTTAAAGTTTTTTCTTTCTCTTTTTTTCTTCTTTTTAATATTTTCCTTCTTTCTTCTTCTTTTCTCAGTCTTCGTCTTAAAAACAACCTTCTTATAATTCCTTATAATTCCTTTTCGTTCTTTTTCATTTTTCACTTTCATTTTGTATAATAAAAGTCGCTTGTCTACTTCATCAACATTCTAGACGCCTGCCGTAGATACCATACATACCCCGTAAGTTAATATAGCGAATTCAAATCATACTGAGCACACTGTTATTCCAGTTTTGTAACAGATTACACCTGATAAATATCTTCTTTGACCAGCAATGGTTATCAAATACTAAAACGTCGACTCATAAATAACACCTTTTTCGGATTATCCACTTTATTCTTAAAAATATTAAGTTCCAGAAGTTTTGAGTCTTTTTCAAAGAAATACTAAACTCTAATCTCCTTCAAATTAGGATCCTCCGATTTCACTGCGCTTGTAGCGCCCCAGCCACTTCGGGAAGGTCCCATGGAAGTCATTGAAAGTAAAGATGTCCAGAATCCTTGTCACCACCTCCTTCATCTTCAATGTCTTTAAAATAATTTTATAGTTTCTCGGCTTCTAGGTTAGATGGGGAACAGCTAAAGTCACAGGGAGCAAGGTCTGAATGGTTGGGAGGGAAATTTTAGGGGGACCCATCTCTGTCAACAGAAAAACTTTATTGCATAGCTAGCTTCCAAATTGTCTTCACGTCCCAAATACATTCTCCAAACTAGTCAGCCGTGACATGCAGTGTTTAATAGAGGTGGGTTCAAAGAGCTTTTACAACCATCCCCTTTCGATCTGGAATAACCAAAGTTGGCAAGTCAGCTTATTAGATGGATACTAATGATACTAAATATTACAATATCTTCTTCTTCTTCTTCTTCTTCTTCTTCTTCTTCTTCTTCTTCTTCTTTACCCTTTTTATTACTTATTATTATTATTATTATTATTTTTTACTAATCTTTTCCTTTTTTGTTACTCTTCTTTATCTTACAATCCTCCTTCTACTCCACTTCCTTTTGCCTCTTGCATCTCACCTATAATGACCTCCTCCTCTTCTTTCTTTTTCCCCTTTTATCTACAATGACTCCCCTTCTTGATTCTCCTCCTCCTCCTTTTCCCCTTTTCCTTTTTTTTTTCTTTCTCCTATATTGTCCCACTTTTCCTTTTCCTCAGCTTTCTCTTTCTCCTTTTTTACTTCACTTTCCTTTCTTATTCAATGATTCTTTCTTCATTTTCCTCCTCTTTTCGTTCCCCTTTCTTCTTCCCCTTCTCCTACATTGGATCTCCTTTCCTTTTTCTCCTTCTTCCTTTCCGTCTTTTTACATTTCATCCTCTCTTCTCTTCTATAATGAGTCACTTTTACTTTTCCACCTCTTTCCGTTTCGATTTTTATCCTTCTTGTTTTCCTTCAACGACTTTATTCCTTGTCCGTCTCTTTCTTTTTCCTATTCTTCTTCCCTTTCGCTTTCATTCATTTTCTCTTCCTTTTCTTCCAGTTTTCCCTTGGTCCTATTCCTTATTTTTCTTCTCTTTTTTTTCCTATAATGATTCTCTCTTCTTTCTCACCTCTCTTTCCTTTTCTCGCTTTTCTACTTTTTCTCTTTCTCCTACAATGTCTCTCTTCCTTCTGTTTCCTATTCCTCCTGTATAGTCCTCTTCCATTTTTTATCTCACGTCTCTTTTCGTTGGTCAAAGGGTTGTTAATTGTAGAAGCGTGGCCGTGTCACCAGATAAGTCAAACGGAACTGGTCGAAAACAAACGGTTATTTGTTGGAACAGGATCGCCACCGTAATGATATATTGACATATGAGTGATGAGCGGTGGTAAACGGGTAGGAAGGGGTCGGACATTTCAATGGCGACGGTAAGGCCGGTAATGTTTGAGGAACCTGTGTTTGTGTAGTGAACATTATAAGGCTATGAAAATAGTAAAATCCGTGACTGCGACAAGGGTGAGTTTTACTGTGGTGTGAATAACGGTGAAGTTTTAAGGAAAATAGGAACTACAGAAAACCGATACTAACAAGTAGATAGAGACAGCTGAAATTTCTGACACGCATAAAGTGGGAAGAGGGTTTGGAGAATGTAACACTCGCAAGACATTTTGAAGTCAAGAGGCGCCGATAGAAATAGCGGGTAACCAACTTGAGTTTAAGTGAATGAATGACAGAACAAATGCAAAGAGACGTTAAAGGAAAGGAAATCCTGAAGTGCCATTATCAACATTAATAACATTAGAACCACATCTCAGTCCTTTCATAATTTATTTTGAGGTGATAATGCCTAACGCCAGTCACGATTTTTTACATTCTTTTTGTTTTTTTGTTTTTTTGTTTTTGTTTGTTTTTTTTTTTACTTATATTCACCCAATATAAGGCTCTACATTGTCGAGGAATGAAGGTAGTTAAAATAATAGCGGTCTTAAGGAAAAACCATCTTTTTGGCCCACCATTTATTTGCGAGGACGAAGATTCCAGATTATTATTATTATTATTATTATTATTATTGTGTGTGGTATCATCTTGCCTAGAGCAATTTTGAGTTTCTAATTAGTAAGCCCCCTCCGGAGTCTATGAGTAAACTCTAGAAATGATATATGGTGACTTGCCAAGAGTATCAACTTTAGTTTGTAAGAGACATGTCCAGTTCGCCGGGCATTGTGCATGTGCCACAGATGAACTTGTGTCATCATTTGTACTCTGGAGGCACCCATCATCTGACAATCGATCACGCAAGTTAACCTTTCCAGATAGGATAAAACGTGACACATTGATCTCTAAGGAAGATGTTTTAGGTGCTATGACAGATAGGGAATACTGGAGAGGTGTAGTGAGTTCAATCTCGGCTGAGGCCGCAAGATGAAGATGATGAAAAAGGGTACTCTAGGGGAGTTATCTATGTATATTTGGAACGTTTCGTTTAGATGGGGAGAGTTGTGAGGGTGATATGTACAGTTTCGTACAAAATAATCTTTTGTCGCTCTGAGATGCTGATGGGGCCTGGAATTTTAATCATTTGATTTATTGATAACTTTCTTTATCATACCCAATGTTCCATATCACGGCAGGGATAATTAGAGTTTTAAGTCTTCACAGTTTTGTTACTTCACTATAATTTTGCAGTTTTTGAAATTCTTTTTTAGAAACATCAATTATTTGGCAAATTGCTGCTTTGAAATGTTTATTATTATTATTATTATTATTATTATTATTGGGTGATTTATCGAGCAACTCGTCAAAAATGCGACACTAGGGTACCAATCTACGATGTCCAGTTTTCCGATCACGACGCCCAGTCTTACTAGTGTATACAAGCCAAATGTGTGCGAAATGGTATTCAAATTTGGAAAAAAAGCTACGCATACTATTTTATGTGGGGTTAGGGTTAGAAATACCTTCAGGTCTCATAACCAAGTCCACAAAGACGCTCTCGGTGTTCCCAAGTATCGACATCCAGCAATCTTTCGTTACTTCCACTCATAAACAGGGGCTTCACAACGTGTCAGGCAACATGCCTATTTCCTAACCATGTACGATCAGGCTACTGACAAGAAAAGTTGTTTTACTAGACGGGATATTTACTATAGCACATCGTTTTTTTTTTTGTTTTTTTTAAATTTTTTGTACAGTAATATTCACCCTGTACAAGGCCCGGGGCCACTCAAGTTGCAGATTTACATTAAGAGGCGTTTTTTACGGATATGAGAGGAAGGTAGCGGCTATAACTTTAACGTAAGCTATATTTATTGGTAAAAGTGTTCAGAATCCGGGATAAAGCATGTTTAATTTGGATATTGATGTCAAACCCAAGTGGGAACAGTGCGTTTCATGTTTAAATGTGATATTCAGACCACACACACACACACACACATACATATATATATATATATATATATTTAGTTGGATTAATGTGAGTTTGTGATCCTGGGTTTCACGCTTTTGCACACACACACACACACACACACACACACACACACACACACACACACACACACACATATATATATATATATATATATTTAGTTGGATTATGTGAGTTTGTGACCCTGGGTTTCACGCTTTTGCGATCGTCAGACGCACCCTGTCTGTTTGTCTGACTGAATATGTTAGCTCTATCACTGATATTGAGCGTTTTCCAATAAGTACCACACACACACACACACACATATATATATATATATATATATATATATATATATATATATATATATATATATATATATATATATATATACACACATACCCCCATATATATATATATATATATATATATATATATATATATATATATATGTATGTATGTATGTATGTATGCGTCGGTATATGTCTATCAATCCATAGCTTAATAGAAAAAAAAAAGATGTTTATTTTACGCATTGCAAATATTTATTTTTTTGTATAGTAATTTTCTAGCTAATTAATACATCTCTGTCAGGTCATGGACCTATTGTTTCACCTTAGCCTATACATACATACGTTACAGTTTTCTTGTGATGGATTTTGTCTTTTAGATCTTCATCAAACTGAGTTTGTTATGTTGGTTCGACTACACATGCGCACGAACCAGGGATGCCGGAAAATTTAAATATATTTTTTCTAGCCTCCCTAATTCGTGCGCATGTGTAGTCGCACCAGAAAAACAAACAGTCCGGTAAAGCCCAAGAAAACTTTTTCAACTTGGTCATACATTTTTCCTCAATAGTGTTATATAAACATATATATTGTTATCTCATAGGAGCACCTCGAGGCGATGTAATGGTTAGCAAGCTTGTCTCGCTAGAACATTTACTACTGAGTAGTGAGTTCGATTCTCACTGGGTGCCCCTCCTTTCAGCCTTCTGCTATATCTAAGCTACGCTTGAAAAATCACTATATTGTTATCTCATACCGTCGACATTGAAGAATACCAAACTATTAAAGAATATAAAAAAACTCTCGATATCGGCCATTTATTATTCATTTGGAAACCGATAACGTTTCTTACTGAAATGCATTGAAGTCATCTCACGATACACGCACAAAATATTAAGAACATCCCATCACATATTTCCAGCCAATGTATGTGATTTCTTAAAATAATCAGCTGAAGAACTTGTAGAATTGGAAAAACTAACAAAATTAGTGTGATCTACTTATCGGTCATACCGACAAGCTCTAAGATAATACATTTGTGGTCAGCCTAGCTGCAGGCATTTCTGGAAGGTTTGTCTAACCTCCTGAAGAGTGACTTCTCAGACTAATGTTTTCAGCTGATTTGAAGGGGAAAGGGTATATTGAATCACTTGGTAAGTTTGCAGCTAAGAAAGTTGCATTGGGTGAAATGATTAAAAAATGTTATTTATTTTCAACTACAAATTGAACTTGGGACTAAAGCACAGATATAAATATTCAAAATAAAGAAAACTTCTGAAATATCATTGTCATTCTTTTTTCTTGTGACTTACAATGACACTAGAAGGATTAAAGTTCATGCTTTTCTCCTAAACACTGACAAAATATCTGTACTATTCATTCAGTCAGTTATGTGCCATGCGTGATACACACTTAGGCGATCATGTAACTTTCAATACATAACTGACGAGGCAGATTTTTTTTCCCCACAGTAGGTTGCCATTGGTAGCCAACCGCCTTCGGGGTTTCACTCCTGATTTTATGTCTGATTTTATTTCTATACCTTTTGTCCGTGTTTGGATATAACCGTCAGGCAGTGTAGATTTAAAAAAAGAAAGGTTTTCCTTCCCTTAGGTTTACTGCCTCCCCGGGCTGACGACCTTCATCTACACGAAGCAGTCTGCCTTCCCTCCTTCGCCGGCTTGGAACTGGATTTAGTTGTCAGAGACTATCTGAAACGTATGTCATAGGAGCAATTCTATAGACTGTGGAAGCTTGTCTCTTCTACCAACCCTGGTTATGACAATCTTTGGAACATATAATGTACATAAAACATATATTCGCATAGATATTAAGCAGATTTCAGTCAACTTTACTTACGTCCTTGTAAAAGATATACAAGGGTCGGCTGAAATGTTCATAAGCTGACCAAGATATAAATGTAATATACCGGATGGTAGACTAAAACTCATGCAAGTATATCAGAATATAACAGCTGTTGTATTTGGTAGATTTTTAATTAATATAATTTCAACTACAGAAAATATATTGCTGGTTAATTTATTATAAATATCATTTGTTGGATATCATGCATCGGATTGCTAAGGCTACCAGTGCTTTCGGCAAACTTCGCCATCGCTTGTGGAATGAGCGGGGTATTCGACTGGATACGAAAATTCGGGTTTACAGAGCTGTTGTACCTGCCATCCTTTTGTATGGCTCAGAGTCATGGACTCCATACAAGTACCATATACGCCAGCTAGATGTTTTCCATAAAAGCTGTCTGCGTGCAATCTGTGGAGTTAATCTTCAAGACAGGACATCTAACGTAGACCTGTTTAACAGGTGTAATATTGGAGGAATCGTGACTTTTATCATACAGTCTCAGTTACGGTGGACTGGTCATGTCTTGAGAATGTCTGATGACAGGATACCCAAAATCCTAATGTACAGCCAGTTAGATCAGAGCTACAGGAATGTAGGACGCCCATGGCTAAGATACAAAGACAAGCTGAAAAACAACTTTTCATCAGTTAATATACCACATAACACCCTTGAGCGCCTAGCCTTGGAGCGGGTAGAATGGAGATCAACGTGTTTTAGTGGACTCAGCAATTTTCAATCTGCTTGTTTGAGCCATCTTTAAGCGAGCAAGATCTAAAAGATCTAAATTCTCATCTCACCTCACAATTCTCACACCTGTGACATCCTTTGTAAATCACTAGCGGGTTTTAAATGCCACTTAAGATTATCGCATAAACTTTCATAACTGAATCAATAAGCTGGCAGATCCTCATATGTCGAACCGACAGGAGAGTCCATTATATATATATATATATATATATATATATATATATATATATATATATATATATATATATATAAAGATGTATTTCTGGTATTTTTACTATAAAAATGTAATTTTATACTTTCATAGTGTTTTATTAGGGGTTCACTATTTACCCCTTTTTGATGCACTAACTGGTGCTACCACCCCGTGTCAGGGTGGACCCGGGAAAAACGACAGTTAAGAGGTGGTTCCACTCTCCTCAAAACCTCCAATCTCCCGATCAGAGACTTTGCTGCCGGATGTAGTTTATCGTCATACCCAGGACTATTTTAGAAAAACTGAAACACAAACGAAACTTATCATTTAGAATAAGAAAATGACAGATGAAATTTCCAATGCACATAATGAGGAAAGAGGGCTTGGAGTGTTTGACACTCACGGGGCATAGCGAAGTTAAGAAGGGCATAGGAAAGCAGCGGCTAACCTAGTTAACGAATAGACGAACAGGGAAAAGGAGGAGAGCAAAAGCACAACATTTACAAAGATTTGGAGAGCTATGATCACTCATGCACTGAAGGAGACACGTCATCATAAGAAGAAGAAGGTGGTGGAGGAGGAGTAGAAGAAGAAGGAGAAAAAGAAGGGAAGAAGAAGAAGAAGAAGAAGAAGAAGAAGAAGAAGAAGGTAGGGAGCAGGACAAGAAGAAGAAGAAGAAGAAGAAGAAGAAGAAGGTAGGGAGCAAGACAAGAAGAAGAAGAAGAAGATGAAGAAGAAGAAGAAGAAGAGGAACAACAACAAGAAGGAGGTGGGGAGGAGGACAACAAGAAGAAGAAGAAGAAGAAGAAGAATGTAGGGAGGAGGACAACAAGAAGAAGAATGTAGGGAGGAGGACAACAAGAAGAAGAAGGTAGGGAGGAGGACATGAAGAAAAGGGAGAAGGATGAGGTAGGGAGGAGGACAAGGAGAAGAAGGAGAGGGAGGAGAAAAAGAAGGTAGTGAAGATGACAAGAAGAAGAAGAAGAAGAAGAAGAAGAAGGTAGGGAGGAGGACAAGAAGAAGAAGAAGAAGAAGAAGAAGAAGAAGAAGAAGAAGGAATGGAAGGGAGGATGACAAGAAGAAGAAGAAGGTAGGTAGGAGGACATGAAGAAAAAGAAGGAGGAGGAGGACAAGAAGAAGAAGAAGGAGAGGGAGGAGAAAAACAAGGTAGGGAGGATGACAAGAAGAAGAAGAAGAAGAAGAAGAAGAAGAAGAATTTAGAGAGGAGGACATAGAGGAGGAGGAGGAGGTAGGGAGGAGGACAAGACGAATAAGAAAGAAAGAAAGAAAGAAAGAAAGAAAGAAAGAAAGAAAGAAAGAAAGAATATCTGTTATACACGATAGATATTTTCTTTTTCAAATATTTCGGAACTAAAAGTGTGCGTATTATCTAGCAATAGTTACAATATATACACGTGTTTAATTTTTACGCGCCCGAATAGATTTGTTTTTCTTCAAGTGTGTGTTGCCAACGACGCAAATAGCAGGCTTCGAATTTCAAAACTCCATCCACTTCAGAAACCTTTTTATATTTTTCTTGAATTATTACTTGTTTTGATATGAGTTGAATTAAATATCGCCTTTTGTCTAGCGCTTTTTTTTTAATTAAAAGGTTTATATGAAATTATTATTCTTAGTTTTAGGCGTTTCCCTATCATGACATTTTTTAATATTTGTTAAGTGTCAGTTGTTGTCAAAACCTAAACAAGTAAAGAACAAGCAAAGCAAACTTTGGCACCGCAAGTCTCCATTCCAAGTGGATTTTGTAATCAAGCGTTCCTGTTTTTATTTTATTTTATTTTTTCATATTTGTGTCCCACATTGAAATCGTTAATAATGAGTTTATGGCTCTTTTACGACGTGACAACTCCAATCGTCATACCTCATCTTTATCGCCACTATCACCGTTTCCCGCCATTTTTATATGCCATTTTGCCATTGCAGACAATTACTTTAATAACACCAACCTGCAATATTATTATAATCGTTCTTTTACTGAATTGAAAAGACTTTTATTTCAAATGAAAGGATTAATACCATATTGTTATGATATATCGAAAATAATAACAATAATAATAATAATAATAATAATAATAATAATAATAATAACAATAATAATAATAATAATAATAATTTGCACCTTCTCAAACTAACGTTATTCGCTGACATGAAGTGGAAAGATTATATTGAATCAATTGGTAAGGTCTTCTGCCAGGAAAATTAGTTTTTTGTGTCCTGGCAGACAATTTTTCTCACCCGAATCCATATTACATATCTATAAATCTATGCTTTGAATATATGACACATGGGATCTGGTGCTCCAGATATATATTTAAAGATCCTTGATAAAATTCAAAAGAAGTATCAACAATGTTATCTCTGTTTAAGCCACTTTTCCCGCCGCAGTAATGTCGCGTTCTTGTGCCTTTTCCATAAATACTTTCATGGCGATTGTTCTGATTAACTTTTCTCTATGGTATCTGGACTTGATGAATTCAAGCTCACTACAAGATTGGCGGAAAGGTCTCATCATTTTACAGTTGAAATGGCTTGATGTAACCGTAAGTTTTATGTCGACTGTTTCTTTACTTGAACTTCTCGCTTCTGGAGCCTTCTTCCGGGTTCTTGCATAAAAGTCAAGTTTTATCTTCAAAAATTTAAATGCAATATCATTCTTTGTCTCCTGTCTTCTTAATTTCTTTTCTTTTATTAATCGCTTTTTTTAATAATGTTTACTCTTTCGTATATTCTTTCAAATTCAGTAACCCCTTGCGTCTTAGTGGCTTTATTGTTTTGCTTGGGGTGAAATGATTAAAAAAGAACAAGAACAAGCAGGATTATAATATCCCTATTCGCAAAGTACACTCTTATTTTATTTTATACACAGTAGCAATGAGATGCTTTCGGCTTAAAAGTCCGAAAAGTTTGCAAGAAAAACCTTGTCTCGAAAGGGCGAAACGTAATAGGGGAGTTAACTGTTTTATTTCTGAAGTTGTCAAGGCAAATGAGTGGGAGAGACGTCGGTGAGGGCCATTAGAGGGAGTCACAGTTTCATTTTGCCTGTCCTTTCCATTAAGGAAAGATGGCCGACAACATCGTTTGTTCACTTTAACACCGGGGTTACTATTTTCTTTCCGTTTGAGTTCTGCGTCCGTCCCCGTAGAGGAAAGAGAGAAAGAAGAATGAAAGAATTCAAAAGGAGAAATCGGAAACGTGGGAGTCAAAAAGAAAGAGGCTGAGAAATAATAATAATAATAATAATAATAATGTGGAGAGTATGGTTAAGAAAGCGAAGAGCAACTGAAGAGAGTGAGAGAGAGGGAGAGAAAAAAGAGAGAAAGAGGAATGTGTGAGTAAGAGAAAGGAGTTATGTGTGTGTGTGTGTGTGTGGGAAATGAAAGAAAAAAAGAATGTAGTAATACTACTGCTAATAATGATATAGGGAAATCATAGTCTTTAGATGTTTTATATTAGAATGTACCTAATACAAGGCTTGAGAGCCACTCAAGGTTTAATAATACCAAAACTTCGGAAAATGAATTTATTCGTTTTCTCGAGAATTAACCGCAAAAATGTTACACTATTTATTCAATTACTTATTTACAAGATAAATAGTTTATAATCTGAAATTATTCATAACTATATAAAAATTCAGCAATTGTCCCTTGAAACCTGTGTCATTAAGGAGTATAGACATTTTCTGTCTATTGAGATTGTCGATCTTCCAATCCAAATTGCGAATAATCCTTTGCAAAATTTACAAAACTGGGCTATATCCCAGCTTCCATTTTTGTCATGTTCAAGGATGTGTAGTTAGTGTATAATGTGAAAAACGTTGATAGTCGTAAGTACCGTATTTAGTGCAACGTTATCCGAGTGTGGGCTGAAAAGTTCATAGTCTAAATATGAAGGAGTGAAGCTAGAGCTATGAAATATTGCATGTATTAATTTCAAATCTTCTCATTAAGAACAGCATTGTTTCCTTTCCAGATACGAGAGAAGGCAGAATAGTTCATAGGCTGACTATGATGGAGTAAGGCTAGAGCTGTAAAATCTTGCACGCAATAATGCGAACTCTTCTTATTAATAACTGCATTTTTTGGGGGTGAGATGAAATATTCATAGGCTGATTATGAAGGAATAATGCTACAGCTGTGAAACCTTGCATGCATTAATTTCAACCTTTCTTATTAATAACTGAATTGTTTCCTTTCCAGATACGAGGGTGGGCAGAAAAGTTCATAGGCTGATTAAGAAAGCGTAGGGCTAACGCTATGAAATCTTTCATGCATTAATTTCATCTTATTTTTTATTAAAAACAACATTTACTTTCCAGGTACGAGGGTAGGCTGAATAGTTTATAGGCTGACAATGAAGGAATGATGCTAGAGCTGTGAAATCTAAACTGACATCTTACTGTTCAAAGAAGTCTGCAACCTCTTTGTGACTATAATTCGTATGTGGACTTATCAATGAGATTTGTACATAGGAAAATGTTTAAATTAACATGTAAGTTTAATAAAACTAACATTCACAGCAATTATGTCCCACCCGCTACTTTCAAATTTAAATTGTGAATGCAAGTTTGTGAAGATGTGGAGGGTAGAATAGAAAAGAAACAGTAGGTGAATAAAAAGGATATAGATGGCAACTCAAAAAGGAGGTGGGGTGTGTGATTGGTAGAAAGTGGAGGTCTGAAGACAAAGGGTGTGTATAACTAGGAGGAAAAGCAAGAATTGTACAGGAAGGCAAAGTTATTGGGAAACAGCTTGTTAAGAAAGATGTGCGGTACTGATTATGGCTGTAAATATAGTAATGGTTTAAGGTCTCGATCGGTGAGGTCGGAAAACTACGGTCTTCAGTTTAAATCCAGACTACCCGTGATATGTCAACCGGCCCGATGACCATATCGAATATGGATAGTCCAGATAATGATCTTAGTCCCAAATAGAATGAACAATCTTCATTGAACATTCAGATATCAGTTTCCGTGGAAAGACACAAAGCAGTTATCAATAAGAAGAATTAAAATTAATGAATGCAATATTTCATTGCTCGAATCTCACTTCTCCATAGTCAGCCCATGAATTTTCAGCCGACCCTCGTGCCTGGAAATGAAACAATGCAGTTATTAATAGGAAGAGGTTTGGTTTACGGCATATCAACCTCAATGGGTTATTTAATGCTAAAAAATGATTTTTATTGTTGGTAGCATTTTTATTGTTGGTAGCATTTTTATTGTTGGTAGCATTTTTTCTTCAAAAATTTATTGCTGGTAATAAATTTTTCTTCAAAAATTCATTACTTGAAATAATTTTTTCCAAAATGTATTGCTGGTATTAAAACCTATTTTTAAGCTTTCAGATTGTTTTGACCCCAGTTTGGGGTTAACTAGTTGCCCATACCTGGGACCCTTATAGGTGCTACCAACCCAGGTCATGGTGGACCTGGGAACACCAGCAAATAAGAGGTGGTTCCACGCTCCTCAAAACCTCCTGATCAGAGGCCTTGCTGTCGGATTTAGTTTATCGTCTTACCCAGGATGCGCATGTAGTTTATCGTCTTACCCTGGACGTGGATGTAGTTTATCGTCTTACCCAGGGCGCGGATGTAGTTTATCGTCTTACCCAGGGCGCGGATGTAGTTTATCGTCTTACCCAGGACGGAAATAGGAAGAGTAACGCATGCACTATTTTAATCTCAGTAATGGCGATTATGAAATTAGCCATTTCCTTCGAAAGAAATATTCCGTTGACCGAACAGTTAGCATGACTGTCGGTTGGAATGTATAGTCTTTCTCGGGGTGAAGGGAACTTTTACAGGAAAATAACTTCTTCAAGCCCTCTGTTATGTGTGCTATTCGCTACAGTTTTTTGTTTGCAATTCTGTATCGCCATTTCACGAGGATCGAAAGAAAGCTTTTGTATAGAATTGGCAATTTAAACAATTCTGAACGTTTTGGGCGCCATGCATGTCCTCCATATAAGAGTCTACAGTAGTCAAGGATATTGAAGAACTTTGCTTAATATTTTGGTTTTGCCGAAATCTTGCGGTGTTGGACTACACCTAGCGCAGCCTATTCTATGTTCAGTTTCCTCATCTACTTGTTAAATCATTTCGCCCCAATTAAAGCAATAGATCCAAGCGTTTTACTGAGTGTGAAAGAATATAAGAAAACGTAAAAGATTATTGAAGAACAATAAAAGAAGAGAAATCAAGAAGACAGTAAATAACAACTGACATTGCATTTACATTTTTAAAGTCAAATTTGGCTGGAAAGCATGGAGTTAGAAAAGAGTTCCGTCAGCGAGAAGTGCGAAAGAAGAAACTGTTAGCATAGAACTTACGGTTACATCCAGCCAATTCAACTGTAAAATGATGAGATCGGGACACCAATGTAGTACTACGCTTAAATACATAGAATCTAGGTACCATAAATGAAAGTTGTTTTACGGACAATAATGGGTATGTCCCCATTCACATAAATACAGTAGTAAATACTGTATGTTGATCTGCAGGTGGAGATTCGTCTTCAGCTGTGCTGGTCAAACTCTCTTCCTCCGGGCAGGGAGGATCCCCAGACGAAGCTATGTCGAAGGGCAGAGTCTCGTTTCGGGAAACAGCTACTCGACCCCGGTGTCTACGGGGAATTTTTGGCCAAGCCTATAGGGCTCGGATAAAACACATTAAATTCGGTATTGTGCCACATCTGACAGCATGGGGCAGTTGGTAAATATCCTGCAGTTAGAGATTCATTGTGGAATTCACTTGACTCACTTCTAGCAGTTGATTACTTCGTCAACGCGCTGCTTTGCGAATCTTGTATATGCTGTTCGTATCCTAAGTATTATCATGCGTTACCAACCTTCGTGTGATTATTCTTTTCCCTGGGTTAGAACAAAAGTTCATTATAACAATTACCATGAAAACTAAAAGGAACTAGCGAGAAAGTGGCTAAAGCTGAGATGCCACGTCGGGACTAATAACATTGCAGATTCTTCTTTGGATTTTATCAAGATTATTTAAATGTATAAGAGGTTTACCAGACCACACGTTGCAGAAACATTCAAAGTATGTACGAATTATAAACTAACAAATGTGTAAGATAGATTCGGGCGAGAAAAATTACCTATCAGGACAAAGAAAACTATTTTACCTCGCGGTAAACCTAGCAATTGATTCAATATAACCTCTCTACTTCATGTCAACGGTATGAGAGAAGTCTGAAGAAGTCACTCTCCTGGTGGTTATTAGCCATTCTGATGTAAGACAGAAATGACTCTCTCTCGGACGATTAATAGAAAACAGTTTCGTTTCGGAGGTGTTAAAATTAACAAACCATTCTTTGCACCAGTTAACAACAGTTGTAGCACATTTTTTTTTTAGATCAGCTGCTGATTTGGCCTTATCGAACGGATCAGACTTACTATTCTACTATACTAAATGTGTTGTAACTGACCCGTACACCATGTTAGTTGTAGTGTTTATTCTGAAATAATAATTTTTATATTATTTTACCTTTAATAATATTATGCATAAAACATTGAGAAATTTCTTTTCTTTGCGTATCATGGTGAAATTTCAATCAGAACTACAATTAGAAGCGATCGAACTATAGTTTTACGACATGCTGACAGATAAATAAAAAGAGGGAAAAATGACGAACTTTTCTAAATGGATGTCAGATGAAGGATATTCGATTTTTTAAATGTTTTTCCAGACTTTGAATTACAAAGTTTATGTGAGAAGACATTTTTAGAGATGTTATACGAAATCTCCATATATAGTCATCTTAAGGGCTCAATAGGAACACACACATTTTGAACCACAGTTTGATTTTGTTCGTCTAAGAAAAAAGAATTTCCTTATTCTCATTCGGAATTCACTTTGAACCCTACCATTAAAAGAATTTGTCAAAGTTTAACTCAGAACCAGACAAAAAATAAAAAAAAAACTTGTTTCAAATAGATGCTATAATTTTCATTTTTGCAAAAAGATATTTTAAGAAGTTTAATAAAGCAAAACATGAAATTGAATTTGTACAGTTTTTCTCGCGAATAGATCATATTTATTCATTTACTCAATTGTTTATTTACAAGATTATCTATCTAGTATCTATATTTCTCATGTTGTCTGTCTGTGTGTCTGTCGTGGGCGTTGTTACCTCGCCCAGGCCGCATTTCTCACCCGTTTTCGATGCGGTTTTCAACACAAGTTTGCAAATGGCTGCTGTGCGTGCCATGTTTGATGGATGTCAGTTATCAGTTATCTCCTGCTAATTTTCCCTCTGAAAGTTTTCCACTGCCTTAACCAGGTATTGAACTCACCTTCTTTGGGTCTGTCACTGGATCTAACCAACGCCTTTATCCACTGTGCCATCAAACATGGCACGTGGAACTAGAACAGTCTACCCCAGTGATCGAAATAAAGGGTTCAGTTCGAAATTCCAACCACCTGAAGAAGGCCGGAGCGTACAACGGCCGAAACGTTGTGACAAATATGGCGACAAAGATGAGGACAATAGTCCGACTAATGTAAATACTCTAAAGTATGTTTGAAATAGAATATCAGTAAAAAAACTGTTAGCCTCTATCATTTAAAATATCATGAAAACTTTTCCTTTTCCAAATATTTTATTGTCTCTCTTTTATCACGCGTTATTATAATATTAGGTTGTTCCAAAAGTTCGTAAACACTTGCGAAAAATTGAATTGATGGAGACTTGCAAACCGGGTTGGACATTGCGCCTTCATCGAGCACTCGAGAATTGGCTGATGAGCTTGGAGTTGGCAAATCGACAATTCACCGACACTTGAAGCAACTTGATTTTGTTCACAAAAAGACGCGCCAAGATCCGCACGAACTCACCGAAGCACAAGCCAACAGACGAGTTGAAATTTGCCGTCAATTGCTCAGCAATCCATTGGACGAGCGTTTTTGGAAGCGCACTGTGACATCGGACGAGAAATGGGTCTATCTGGTCCAGCACAATTGAGACAAGCGATGGGTTCAGAGACACCGTCGGTTCCAAAACACAGATCGATTCGGCAAGAAAGTCATGTTGTGCGTTTGGTGGAACTTTGAAGGAATCGTGCATTTTGAGTTGGTTCCGAATGGTCGTGCCATCAGTGCCGAAATTTACTGTCAGCAACTGGAGCGGGTCTACGAAAAATTGAAGCAAAAGTACCCGGCTCTGATCAACCGAAAACGCGCTTTGATGCAGCAGGTCAATGCCAAGCCACACACCGCCAGGAAAACCAAAGACAAGTTTGAAGAGCTGGATGGCATTGAGGTTCTGCCACATCCAGCCTACAGTCCTTACTGTGTTCCATCAGATTACGGCCTTTTCCGCTCAATGCAACACTTTCTGAAGGGTCGCCGATTCGACTCGTTTGATGAATTCGAGGAAGCGTGTCAAGAATTCTTTGATTCGAAGCCGGCTGAATGGTACTTTCACCAGATCCGAAAGCTTGCAGATCGATGGCAGAAAGTCTTGGAAAATGAGGGTCTTTATTTTGAGGAATAATTTTTGTTGTTTTTGTTGTTACTTGGCGCGTAAAATTTCAATTTTTTGCAAGTGTTTACGAAATGTTTGTACAACCTAATATAAGAATGGGATTCTTTTCTATGTTTACTAGGCAAAGATTCGGAGCACCCGGTATGTATTGAAACCGAATCATTACAATCTGGTTTTCGAGACAAGACTAAATATGAATATTTGAGGACTGTTGCTTTCTGGTAAAGACTCTCGGGAGGATGCTTATCAGATCACTATTATTTTAACCTCCGTAATATTAAGTCTAAGATCAACATTTACATTTCCTACATATCCTAATAATAATTAACCTTGACATATTTGTGAAGGATATTAGAATAACCCAGAACCTCCTGCATCCGGATAGATATACATAAATAGAAACGGGTGTAAGACAAGGATGTGTCGTCTCACCGGATTTATTCAATCTATAAAGTGAGGCAATTCTGTAAGAATTAGAAGTCCTACCAGGATTTATTACTGGCGGCTATAGTCTTAACAACATAAGATAGGCAAATGACACAATGTTGATAACAAACTTAGAAAGGAAACTACAAGAATTCCTCTAGAATTTAATGAAGGAAAGCGAGAAGAAAAGACTAAGTATCAATTCCAAATTGACGAATGCATGATTGTTAGCAAAAGTGACAGCCAAGCATGCAAATTACAAATTACAAATTGGAGATATCAAAGTGAAACAAAGTACAAAAATTTAAATAGCTAAGAAGTGTTTTAACATAAGACGGAAAGAGCAACACTAAAATCCAAAGGCGCATTTGAATAACCAAAGATGTCTTCAAAAAGCTAAGAAGAGTATAGAAAAAAGTTTGTTTAGATATAAATAAAAGAGTACTGAACTGTTACGTAATATCGGTCTTCCTGAGTGCTGGACAATCTCGTCACGGATGAAGTCTGATTCTACGGGAGGATGTTGGGGATACAATGGTCAGAACATGTAAGCAACTACAATGTTTTAGAGAAAATGGAAACAAAATGGAAACTTATACTTAACATCAGAAGAGACAGTTGAAATTTCTAGGGTACATAATGAGGAAAAAGGCCTTGGAGAATCGGGTACTTAGCGGACAGATTGATGGCCGAAGTGATAGAGGAAGACGCATACTCTACTTAATGAGCTTGATTGAATGGATGGCGGGTCGGGGTTTAGGAATGATAAGAAAATGACAAAATTTATTAAGAGCCACAAAGGGCAGGAAACTTTGGAGAGCCATGATCGCCTACCTCCCAAAAGGAACACGGCACAGAGAAGCTGAAGAACATATACTTTGAGTGGATCTTGAGCCTTTATTGGATGAATAATACTATAAAAATACGCTTAGTTTAGTCAAGCGCATTTTTATCCTTGTCGAGTAACCAGCAAAACTAGAATCCAGCTAATTTTGAAGAGAGTCTGTAAAACCAGCATTGGCTCAAAACAGGCCTCATGAATTCAAGTCCTTTATAACGAATCAAAACTCATACAACGCCCTTCAAAGTGCAGGAATACTCTGTATGTAATATGAACGGACAACCACATTGTTATGCGATAAAAATGAATGAAGGAAGGCGAGAATCAACGCGGTAGAAAGAGCGGGAACCACAAGCATACAATGGGAGCAAAAGAAACAGAGAAGGAAAAAAATAGAGAAAAGATAAAAAAAGAAAAATGCATTAGGCAAATATATATATATATATATATATATATATATATATATATATATATATATATAAAGAAAGAAGAAAGAGTGGTAAAAAGAAGAAAGAGACAAATGTCAGACATAAACCCAATTCAATGATGTGTAAAAAGCAAGGAAGAAAGAAAAAACTCGTTGAATTGTGAAGAAAGAAAAAAATATGATCTAGAAAGAAAAAAATTGAACAAACAGGGGGAAACAAACAGGCGTAAAAATGCCAATAAAAGAAAAATAAAACATAGAAATTAGGGAAAAGAAAAAGAAAATGTATTATGCAAAAAAACAGAATAAAAAAGAGAGACAAAAGAAAAAAACGGAGACGATGAAGGAAAAATCAATTGAATGGTGTGAAAAATGAAAGGAAGAAAAACAACGCTGATTTATGTTGAAAGAAAGAAAGAAAGATGAAAAAGGAAGAAAGATGAAAAAGAAAGAAAGAAAGAGAGAAAGAAAGGTGACTTAGAAAGAAAGATGATCATGAAAGAAAGAAAGAAAGATACTCATGAAAAAAGAAAGAAATAAAGATGATCTAGAAAGAAAGGAATAAATAACGAAATAAATAAATAAATAAAGATAGAAAGATGACCATGAATGAATTGAAAGAAAGAAAGAAAGAAAGAAAGAAAGAAAGAAAGATGAGTTAGAATCTAAGAGAGAAAGAAAAAAAAAAGAAACGAAGAACGAATGGGGAAATAAACAGGTGTAAAATAACGACAGAAGAAAAAAAAAACAAAATAATATGGAATAGATAAAGCAAATTATTATGAAAGAAAGAAAAACTCACTGAATTGAGTAGAAAGAATAAAGGAAAAGAAGAAAGAAAGTTGAGAAAGAAAGATGAGCTAGAAAGAAAGAAAGAAAGAAAGAAAGAAAGAAAGAAAGGTCAAGCAAACAGGCGTAAAATAATGTAATAAACAAAGAAAAGAGAAAAGGAAGATCCGTTATTAAAATGGTAGAAACCTAAATATCTCGTGTGAAAGAAAAGTGTGCCGTTAATTGGAAACAAAAATAAGAAAAAAGTATTTGAAAGAAGCAGTTTGAAATGAAAACAAATTTAACACTAGTATGGTGTTAGTTAAAGAAGAAAAATCGTGACCTCTTCTTCAACCACGATATATATAAAAAAAAATCTTCCAGCAGCAAGCAAACAAGACATTGACCCAAAATCTAATTTCTATTCGATCGTCTTCTATCTCAGCTAAAATACTCAAACAGTTAAAGTAAACAGAAATTTGTCATTAAAAACGATATTTAAAACTGTAGTAAATAAAGATGACATCGGGGATATGCTGGAAAGGGAGATGACTGGTAGGTTAGTTCGCGAGAGACAAGGTCTTATCTGTCTATTAGTTTATCGCGTCTCTTGTCTGTTTTTACAGCCAACATTTCACAGCAGATAGGAACAATCTTGGAGTGAGGGCTTGGCTTTGATGAAAGTACGGTAATAAAATTAAAGAACGCCCCTCACACGACAGACGAATTGAATGCTGTTGAAGAAAGGAAAGAAGAAAAGATCTTCAAATAATTTATTCACGAAAAACTAATTTGCATGATTTGGACAGTGAGAAAAAGAAAGGGACAATGTAGTTTTTTAATGTAGGCAAAAGAAAATATTATTTTGAAAGAGAACGAAAAAGGAAAAGAAACAGTAGGACATTCTCGTTGATTCTAAGAAAAATAAAATATTCAACAAGAAAAAAAAACGAGGAATAAGATGAATTCAAGTAATATAGAAAGCTGAATATTTTAAATTATACTTATATATATATATATATATATATATATATATATATATATATATATATATATATATATATATATATATATATATATATTGCTTTGAACATTATGCATTGAGTGATACGTATCGGTCAATTTGAATATATAATAATAATAATAATAATAATAATGATAATAATAATAATAATGGACTCTCCCGTCGGTTTCGACGTATGATGATCTGGCAGCTTAGTTGATTCAGCTTATAAGTTTGTGCGATAATCTCAAGTGGCATTTAAGACCCACTAGTGATTTACTAAGGAGGCCACATATGGAGCAAGTGAGATGAGATCACTGTTAGATTGGCTGACCTTTTAGATCTTGCTCTCGCTTCTTGAAGATGATTCAGACAAGCAGATTGAAATTGTTGAGTCAACTAAAACACGTTGATCTCCATTCTATTCGCTCCAAAGCTAAACGCTCAAGGGTGTTATGCGGTATATTGACTGCTGAAAAGTTGTTTTACAGCTTGTCTTTGCATCTCAGCCATGGGCGTCCTACATTCCTGTAGCCCTGATCTAACTGGCTGTACATTAGGATCTATCTATCTATCTATCTATCTATCTATATATCTATCTATCTATCTATCTATCTATCTATCTGTGTGTGTGTATATATATATATATATATATATATATATATATATATATATATATATATATATATATATATATATATATATATGACTTAACTATACAACCTTATTAGTCGTTTTCAATGAAACTTGCATAAAATATGGATTACTGACTAAATACATAATTATATATATATATATATATATATATATATATATATATATATATATATATATATATATGAAAAAAAAATATAAAAAAAAAAAAAAAACAAAAATCCTAATATGCAATTATGCTGTTTTAATTTTTAATGTCAACGTCGGACGTTTCGGTCTAATAGACCATCTTCAGGATATATTCATAAAACATAATTAATATAGACCATATACAATTCAACATGAAAAAGACGATGGACATAAAAACAAGACCAGTCCAAACAGATAACTTTTTTATAAGATCAGCGTTCCGTTTAAATATGATCACGTCGTCGTCACGTGGGCGATGTTGTGAAAACGTATTCCTAAAATTTGCGTATTTTGAATGAAAAACGAAAAGAATTTTATTTTGATCTAAAACTTATATGTACGTTTGTCGAGCATTAAGCTTGCTAGAAAAGGGGAAATATTAAAGAAGCCAGGTCTTATGTTCACCGACGACGTGATCATATTTATTCATGTTGAATTGCATATGGTCTATGTTAATTATGTTTTATGAATATGTCCTGAAGATGGTCTATTAGACCGAAACGTCCGACGTTGACATTAAACATTAAAACAGCATAATCGCATTTTTTTTTTTTTCAGCATATTTTTCTTCATACTGTCGGATCTATATCCATATATTTGCTTACACACGCACACACACACGCACACACACACTTATATATACATATATATATGACGAGAAAGTAGTGTGACAAATTGGAAAAAAAAGAGTGACGCGTTTCATCATTAAAGACTTCATCGAACCAAGTTTGTTGATTTTTTCCAATTTCTCATACAATTTTTCTCAATACTGTTTCTTGATATATAAAATTACATATCGTTATGTATATATATATATATATATATATATATATATATATATATATATATATAAGGACCTCCACAAAAAAAAACGATACACAAGGTTTAAAATCAAATTTTAAAATGCAAAACTTTTTTGACGCTTTCCAATTTCTCATACAATTTTTTCTCAATACTGTTTCTTGATATATAAAATTATATATCGTTATGTCATATATATATATATATATATATATATATATATATATATATATATATATATATATATAAGGACCTCCACAAAAACAAAAACGATACACAAGGTTTAAAATCAAATTTTAAAAATGCAAAACTTTTTTGACGCTTTCATTTTAGTTTTAATTTCTAGGTAATTAAGTTTAAAATCTAATTAATTATTAATATTTTTAATAAGCACACTACTTTGATGTATTTCACAAACTAATTTAAATTGACTGGAAGGTGTTTTATTTTGCGTTTTTTGTTTTTGGCTAAAATAGCTGATTAGCGGCCTTTTTAGTCGTCTTTCATTGCAATGTAATTCTTTGTATTAAAAAATCTTGCAAAAATAAAATATACTTTTCTGAAATATTCTTCCAAATCTAATTTTAGTAATGTTGGCATTAAATTTACTATAGTCAGCGTCCTTATTTTTTGATAGTGTTGTGTATGGTCGCCCATATTTTAAAAAGGGGGAACATTTATATACATAAAAATTTTTTTAAATTCTTTAAAAAGTCTTGATTTTTGATGTCTGGTATTAAGCTTTACCATTTTAGTAAATATAGTTTTCACTTAATAATAATATAATCTAAATGGCTCAAATTAATATAGAATTTTAAAAGATTTAAAACTTAATTAAAATTTTCTAATAATTTTTTTTACAAAATGAAAATCATTCTTGTAAAAATTGATTATTCATCGAATAAATGTCTTAAGCCAATACTGTTATTAATATATCTTATTTATAAAAGCAATTACAAGCTTTCCTAATTGAATAATGTCATCATTTTATTGCATTTATTTTTCGAGATTTTCGTTAAATGGTGTTCGTGCTCGCAAAAAACAAAATTATTACTAAAATCTTCCAAGGATTCCTGATTTTAACTAATACAAATATGAATAGGCTTAAATTTTATTTTCTCGGAATTTCATAAAATTAAGTGAGTGTAATAAATGTAAAAAATACTTTTACCAAGATTTTGTAAAAAAAATAAAATAAAAAAAGATAAATTCATTTGTGAATAAGTCCTGAAAGTTTCAATAAAATCCGACAATTATATTTTTTTTTTGTTTTTTTTATTATTTTTTTTAAATTTTTTTTGCAAGAATTTCCAAATTATAGCGTTTTTCATCGGAAAAAAAAGCGCTAAAACAATCATAATAATCTTTGGCGGATGACTGGCAGGAAAAAAAAAAAAAAAAATCCCCAAAAACAAGATTTTGAAGCTAGATAGGATTTAATAAAATAATAAAAAAATACTTTGGTCTTTCCTCTTAATAATAACATAAACATTTTAACGATAAAACTTTGTTTTTATTAACTTTGGGACCTTTTTTTATCATGCTATGCTGTTTTTTTTCAATGAATTAGTTTAAGCACCTATATAGCATTCTCTATAGCAACGGTTAAGATCTCTGGGTGCAGGCCTCAAATTTCTGCACAGATGTTATCCGTGAGGTGTTGAATTGTTTGGGGGTTTATTCATGAAAACACACTCCTTAAGGTATCCTCAAAGGAAATACACGGCACGCGTCAGATCAGGAAAACGTTGTGTCTAAAAAAAATGTCCGAATTTCGATGGTGGTTTACTGGCATTGAAGTGTCGGGAGTATTTACTTTAGCATGCATGACTGACTGGTTAAATCCAGGATTTTGGTTCTTTTTTGTTTTGTTTTTAATGACATCATCCCATGCAAGGTAATAAAGCCACTAAGACACAAGGGGTTACTGAGTGTGTATGAACAAAAAAGAGAAACATTATTAAGGAACGAGAATAATAGAAGAGTAATCAAGAAGGCAATAGATAACGATTGGCATTGCATTTAAATTTTTGAGGATCAAAGTTGGTTGGAAAGCGTAGAGCAGGAAGAAATTTCCAAAATCGAGAAGTGCGGGAAAAGAAACTATCTAGACAATTCAATGAATGACAACCTCTCTGGAGTCGGTCCCACAAAGTAGCGCGTTGTGTGAAGAAGATATTTCAGTGAAATTTCCTTCTCCCTAATGGGATACAAACGGAATGTTGGTGGTTCGACTGTGGCATAGCGGTTCTTGGTTGTGAGAGTTAGAGTTGTGTGGAACTAAGACACGTAGCTCGTTAGAACCTTTGTCAGTAATGACATATTCTTGGTCTGATTTGACTCTTGTCAAGATAGAGCATGGCAGCTGGAATCGGATACTTTCTGACGCGTACACGGAACTGGGCTAATTTCCCGTTATTTTTATCTTGTTTTTCTGCCCTTTATTCATGTTTTTTTTTTTATTTCATTTCTGCATCTTCCGTCACCTATTCTTCGTTTCCGAGTATTTAATTCCCGTGAAATAATCACCTTTTCTCAATTCTCATGTCTTTTTTTAGGAACCGTTAAAACAGATTCTTCATCTTCATATATGTAAAAAATATATAGAAAATAGGAAAGAACTCGTTAGGTAAATAATCCAAAGTTCTTTAGTATTTCTGTTATTATTTTTAATAAATAGTGCTCGATACAAAAAGTAGAGCATAAATATAATTATATAAGCGTGGAATCATATTTTTAAATAAATAATATATATATATATATATATATATATATATATATATATATATATATATATATATATATATATATATATATATATATATATATGCAGAGTCCGCCCCACAAAATGTATTCAGAAAAGGAAAAATTTGGACAGA